TTCGATTTTTATTCTTATTTTTACGAAAAAAAGTCGTAGGGATTTGAAATTTGGATAAAAGATAGCTTGTTTTATGATAAAAAATGACACAATTTTTTTGGGCCCGCAAAGTCACGATTTCTGAAAAAAACCTCTTTTTCAAGGGGATGAAAAATCTATTTTTTTTCATCGTATAAAGGTGCGCGAGTTAGCAAAATTTTGCTAGAAGACTTATATTTTAATAAACAAAAATAAAAAATATTATTCCTATAGAAAAAATTCGAGAAAATCGCCAAAAACTGGAAAAACAGTTTTAAGATGTACACGTTTTTTGACATGATAAATCAACGTGTTCGATGTTAATAAAGATTTTTTCGAAATCTGTCGTCTTGCTTCTTTTTAATGTTTGCTTAAATATTCTCTTTTGTTATCTTATGTTCAACTGTTTTAGTTAAAACATCTTTATTATTTCTTTTCTCTGCAATTCGAAATAAAATCGAATTATTTGGCTTCCTGAACAATTTGTGGGGCACTAGGAAACAAAAGAAAATATTTTAGTAACAGAGGTGAGAGAAGACAGATTTCAAAATCATTTTATTAGCATACATACCTACTGGCGATCTAGATTAATAACCACCAAGGGAAAGGAACTCTTGGAAGCAGTCAAACAACTAAAATGTGAAGTACTATCAAGTGGAAAACCGACATACTGGCCGACAGACCCACAGAAAATCACAGACTTAATTGATTTCTTTATAACTCGAAATGTTGCCGTGAACTACATGCATGTTGAAGAATCTTGGGACATGAACTCGGACCACTCTCCCATCCTTCTCACGCTCAACGATAGTGTTATACAAAAGGAATTAATTCCTAGATTAGTTAATAAGCGGACTGACTGGTGTAGCTTCAAAATACAACTTGAAGAAAATATCAAATTGGCAGTTCCTCTAAGAAATGTAGAACAACTAGATAACGAAACAGAAACTTTTGTTACGGATATCCAACAAGCTGCTTGGGATAACACCCCTACCATTAGTACAAGAACCAAAGGTAACAGCTACCCAAACAAAATAAGAGAGCTAATCTTTAAAAAGAGAAGACTCAGAAGAATCTGGCAACAATCTCGAGCTCCAACGGACAAAACCACACTGAACAATGCTATCCAGCAACTAAAAAGAGAAATTCAAAAATTCAAAAATGAAACGATTAGTGACTATCTTAGTGAATTGTCGAATGACAACAACACTGAGTGTTCACTCTGAAGAGCAACTAAAAAACTAAAAAGACCGATTCAACAGAATCCACCGATAAAAAATGCAGATGGGAGCTGGGCAAAAAGCAATTTGCAGAAAGCCAACAGATTTGCTGAACACCTCGAAAAAGCATTTCAACCGAATGAAGGTGAAGACACATTAGACTGGGAAAACCTTAACTTTAACCAAGGAGAAGGCGAAATCACACCCACCACTCCAAAAGAAGTTGCAACTGAAATAAAAGAAAACATTGATCCAAAGAAGGCTCCAGGATTTGATTTGATCACTGGAGAGATCCTAAAACAACTTCCTAGGAAAGCTATAGTCAAACTAACGTACCTTATCAATGCTTCGTTTCGACTGAAATATATACCCAAAATATGGAAAATGGCTGAGGTGATGATGATCCCTAAACCTGGAAAACCAGCCAATCAAGTCTCATCTTATAGACCAATCTCATTGCTTCCAGTGATGTCAAAGTTGTTTGAAAAATTACTTTTTAAAAGGCTGAAACCCATTATAGAAAACAAGAACCTCATTCCTCTACACCAATTTGGCTTCAGGGAAAGACATTCAACCATAGACCAAGTCCACAGAGGAAAGAAAAGTTTGTTCTACTATATTCCTTGATGTAGCACAAGCTTTCGACAGAGTGTGGCACGAGGGACTTAGGTATAAATTAAGAAAGCTTTTGCCTAGACAATATACACAACTATTGGAAGCATACATAACAGATAGGGTTTTTAGAATTAAGCAAGAAGATGCTTATTCTGAAATAAAAGAAATTAAAGCAGGAGTGCCACAGGGCAGTGTATTGGGACCTATCCTTTACCTACTATACACCAGTGACATACCCGAGTTGATACATGGCACGATAGCCACCTGTGCAGACGACACGGCCATCTTGTCTGTAGGCAAAGACTACGAAGAAGCAGCAAGAACGCTACAAACATCTGCTAATCAAATTAACAACTGGACTAAACGCTGGAGAATTAAATTAAACGAAACCAAATCCATTCATGTCAATTTTACAAACAAACATGATCAGTATATCCCTGTTAGTATAAATAATACACAAATACCATATGCTAATACAGCAAAATATTTGGGTATTACCCTAGATGCTAGGCTGCGCTGGGAGGCTCATATAAAAAAAAACGAGAAGAACTTGGCCTCAAGTATAAGAAAATGTATTGGCTCTTGGGCAGACATTCCACCCTGTCAACATACAACAAAATACTATTGTATAAACAGATCCTTAAGCCCGTATGGACATATGGCATCCAGCTGTGGGGTTGTGCCAGAAAGACTAATATAGACATCATACAGCGCTTCCAGAATAAAGTACTGAGGAACATTGTTAACGCACCTTGGTACTTCAGAAACAGTGACCTGCATAGAGATTTGGAAATGGAAACTGTGAGCCAAACCATTGAAAAACTTGCCAGAAGTCATGAGCAGCGACTACTACATCACGTCAATGCTGAGGCCATCCAGCTCCTCGACAACACGATGTTAACCAGAAGACTCAAGAGGACGAAACCCTTTGAATTGGTATAAGTGTTTGTGAAAAAGCAGAGTAAAGTGCTAGTGGTGTACACGTTAGCGAAGTGTAATGAAATTGTTAAAGACTAGGACCTGCTAATGAGCAAGACCCTAGGTTGAGTTTTGTAGTACTAATTTAAGTTTGAACAAAATTTCTCATTGATCAACATATGATCAGATTGTAATTCAAAGAAACACCAATAAAGGTATTTCATTAAAAAAAAAAATTTTTATTAGCACGGATCCAATACGTTAATTTAGTTGCAACAACAGCTATTTACCTACTGTCAAAAACGGTATATTATCTTAAAACTGTTCCCCCAGTTTTTGCCGCTTTTCTTAAAATTTTTCTATTGGAACAATATCTTTTATTTTTGATTATTAAAATGTAAGACCTTTTGTAAAATGTAAGAATTTTGCTGCCCCGCGCATCTCTGTGCGATAAAAAAATAGATTTTTCATCCCCTTGAACAAGAGGTGTTTTTTTTCAGAAATCGTGAGATCTTGGAAACGGTTCAACTTTACGGGCCCAAAAATTATCTCCTTTTTATCATAAATTTTTATCATAAAACAAGCTACGTTTCCTCCAAATTTCAAACCCCTACGACTTTTTTTTCGCAAAAATAAGAATAAAAAACGAAAAAAACAGTTTTTCTGGTTTTTCTAGGAAAATTGAAGAATATGTGAAAATAGTGCAGATACAAAAGTTGCTAATTTTTTTAATCTCTATAACTTTTACATTAAACTAGTTTCGTCACAATTTGCAAAACACCACTTTTCACCCCTTTCAACCCCCGAGATTTCACCCGCGGAAAAATTCAGCTGTTTTAATTATATTTCCCAATTTCTAATCATTTCACCTCCCTGATAAACCCGGTTTCGCCCGGTAACTAAGTTTTTTTGAAATTAAATTATTTTAGAGCTATTTAGCCTGGATGCGTTTACCTTCCCATCGTAGTGGATCCATCTTGGAATTTCTGCCCTATTTGTGCGAGCTCTTCTTGGAAGGTGGTCCATTTCTCCCTCAACTGGGCTGGAAGTTTTTCGTCCCACTCAATGGCTTCTGCCCAGAGTTTGTGCATGAACAGCTTCACCCGGATTACCATGGGAGCTGCTAGCCAGCCTAGGGGGTCATATGACCTTGCGATTTGGGATAGGACCCTTCGCTTGGTAGGTGTGTTCTCCGGAGGTAGGTCTGCTTTGAAACGAAATACATCTTGGATCGGTGCCCATTGTACGCCCAGTATGTCCTCTGGTCCAAGATCCATAAACCCCTTTTCCTGTAGCTCGTCGGGAAGGGTGGAAATGAGTTCCTTGCAATTGCTTTTCCACTTCCTAAGTTTGAACCCTCCGCGCTTCAGCAACTCGATCAACTGCTGTTGAAGGCACTTCGCATCGTCCATATAGAAGTCTCGTTTTACGACTTTTGCCGCTTCTCCTCAGTCTCTTCTTTTGCCAACTGTTGCAAGGTCGCCAAGTGTTGTACTCCTTGATAGGCTCGCTTGGTGAAAAGCCCTTCTGAATTCTGGCAGGCGTGGGAATCTGTTCTAAATGAACAATGCAATGGGCCACTCTGTAATTGGGCGCAAGCCTGTTGAGAGCCCAGAACAAGAGAGAGATAATAAATAAATAAATAATAATAAATAAAAAAGTGATGTGGTAAAATTTTATCATTTTCGCAAAACCGGCCATAGCCAATTTTTATAATTTTTGAGTTGCCACGCGTCATTTTCGATTAAGATCTTTCTAATTAGTGTTTCAAACGCAAACACCATTAATCATTTTAATTGAAAAATGAGATATATTTATAAAAAAACAAAAGTATTAGCTTAAATGCCAATCTTTCCATCTCTCGATAAATTTATTTGGCAAATAAGTACCTTGACAACGATTAGATCAGCAATGTTATCCATGGAATTTATTGAGAAGTGGAAAAACTACTATATACCACCACTAAAGTCATCAGTAACAAATATACATGAACTATCACCGAGATCGCCCACTAGGTATAGTAAACTATACGTTCATCCGTCTGTCCGTACACAATTTATACATGATTAAAACGTGCTCAAAACAACTCGAGGCGACTTAATTAATCTGTTTTGACGCGGTGATGTTTGCCGCAAGCACGAAAACGGAAAAAATAATCCACTTCATCTGATAAGATGGGACAATGTAAGTGAAAATAGAAACCTATCGCAAAACACTTGATGCCGGTAAATGAAGGAGTATATAAAGACGCCGGTTGAGTAAACCGACGTGTACAAGTTTCGCTAAGAAAATGTTTCCTACATGGGTAGTTTGTTCAATTTTTGTGAGTTACGTTTATGTCGTTTACGGTTATCAGCCCCTTACATCCAGACAACTGCGGTCAGAATCGGATCGAAATGCGGCAAAAGTTAATTATTCACAATTTGGTAACGTGGAGAGTTACTCAGGTTACTTGCTGACAGATTCTAGCCATAAAACGAAGCTATTTTATTGGTTCTTCCCGGCTAAGGTAAATAAAAATACAGCTCCAATAATTTTATGCTTACAAGGTGGTCCGAAAACGTCGAACCTCAAAATGTTATTTTTTGAAAATGGTCCTTTCAAAATTGTGGACCAAGACAATGTAGCCATAAGAGACAACTCGTGGATTGAACACAGTTCTTTGCTTTACATCGACAGTCCAGCTGGAGTAGGTTACAGCACCACCACTGCTGATGCAGCTGTTAGCATACTACTTGTGTCCTCACGCTTACGTGGGGCGCTCAATCACTTTTTCATAATCTTCGATAACTACAAAACCAATGATATCTATCTGTACGGAGAGGAATACTCCGCATTATATGCAATTCAGTTAGCCAAACAGTTACAGTCGGACCTTCCCACGAATTTGAAAGGTATAATGATTGCAAATGGATTAGTGGATCCGGCTCGCCAAATTGTGTACTCTGACCACCTTTATTATATGGGTGTAATTAGCGATAAGGTGAAGGACGAAATTAGCGCGCTGGAAACTACTTTGAAAAGTAACTTAAATGCGAAGAATTGGACCAGTGCCGACGCTACGTATAACCAGATATTCGAAAAAATCAAAACGAAGGCAGGTTACAACTCACTCGCCAATATCGACTATACCGACGACCAGAATGCCCAACTTAAGACAGCACTGGAAAAGTTCCTGAATAAGAATGACGTTAAAACCGCGTTGCACGTTGCTAACAATCAGTTTAAGTTGTCCACAGAGATGACCACTCTATTCACAGACCACTATGAGTCAAAAAGTAGTATGGTGGGAGATTTGCTTCAAAACTACAAGGTTCTATTTTTACATGGAAATCTAGACCTCAAGCATTCGTATAGTTCACTTATATCGTACATTGAGGATTTGCCATACTCGTCCATTCAAACTTACAAGGATTCTACAAGACAAAAACTTTGTTTGGGGGATGATGTTGCTGCGTACATCAAGAAAGGTGAAAATCTTAACGAAGCCATGGTCAGAAACGCCGGTATGCACGCTGCAATGGATCAACCTGGATATGTCTCGGAGCTGGTGAAACGGTTTGTTAATAAACAAACTTTGTGGACGGTACCGGACGCCGATGGGAAGATATCATGCGTTCCTTCTTAATAAGAAGCTCAATTTTAGTTCCGTAACGATGAACGACTTTCAACCTAGTACCTATTCTATTAGGTACCTATCTTATCACTGATAATTTTTTAATACACGTTTTTTGCTTCAAAAAGTTTTGATCTTTGGAACTGTAATAATAATTAGGAATCAAATGGGAGGAAGAGAAGTCACTGACTGTTTTAAATAAAAAGTTATAAGCGGACCAGTAATGGTAACGTTTTATCTATGTGTTTTTGCACTTTTGACTCTTGCCAAAACGAAGGGGTATAATGGTTTGTCAATAGCAATTTACAACTCTGACATTCAAAAGTTACACATTTAGCGGGCCTATCATGCAAGTTGCCAGTTCTTTCAGGGAACCTTTTGAACGCACATACTGGTGCGTTTAGAAGTCACTCATAACATACAAATCCTCGGCTCAGAAGGAGTATTGGAAATCACAACCATCACAAAAAGGTTCACCTATGATTCTACACCTAATACACACTCTTCTAATGTTTCCGATTGAAGTACCATTTAAGCAATTTAATTTATGCACCGATCTTGTTATGAAAACTGTAAAACGCTTTAATCTACATATCTAACCGTTGAATTTTTATTTTACATATTTCGTTTAGAGAAAAACCGGTTTTTTTATTAACTTCTTGTAATGTTTTTTTCTTACCAATGTAAAATTCCAAATTTATATTCCGTTTAAGTAACTCTCAGATTTTTACTCTCATTTAGTATTAAGACGCCACCTAGGTATTTCCTTTGTAAACGCGTTTAGTTAAGATGTAAGTTATTTGTTATAACCTTAGTTCTTTAGTTCGCCGCCAGAGATCGTGCAGATGTTTTCCATACTAATCCTAATTCCATCCTTTCTTTAATTTGATCCTGCGTATTTTTTTCGTTCCTCTCGCGCAGAGACGAACTTGCCTTCACGTTGGTTGCCTACATGAATAAGGGCTTATGGTTTTGGCTATCACCATATTTATTATGGGAGTGTTTTTCTCTACTTGTGATGCGCTGTGGCTGTGCTCCATAGAATACGCTTTGCGGATTTGTGTTTGCAAGTAATTAGTGTAAAGATTACTCTTAATACGCAATTTTTTTGGAGCTTTCTTCAGAGTTCTCTCACAGTTTTCTCTTAAGAATTGTTTTCTCTTCTAAATTACTTTTTCGTTATTATCTACCTGGATACGCCTACATCAATATTCGCACGCAATATCATAAAGGCATCTCATTTTTCCAAAAAAAATCGAAAAAACACGTTACCAAGTAATATTTTAAAAAGAAGCGCGAGTGCTAGTGGCAATAAAAATCCGAGTCGAAGACGCATCAAAGGTATTCAAAATCCTCCAAGAAAATTCTACAGTTTTTTCTACTGCTTAAAAACCTTTAATCGTATGAGAGTCTTTAAGAGTCAACATGGGTCTCTAATTCAAGCCTGCAGGAGGATCTGGGGTTTTAGAATCTTTAAAAGCCTTTTAAATCAATCGAATAAAAACAGTTTCCAAAGGCCATTCTCCCCAAGAGTTTTCAATAGTCCCTACTGTATTCTAAAGACTTGAAGTCCTCTAACAGCGATTCAAGCGTCTTTGAAGGTACTTAAGGATCTTTGAGAGTATTGAACATCCCAATCTTGAAGAACTTTTAAGTCTCTTGGTGCGTTTGTGGGTTTCTAACTGCAGTTAATGGTATTTAAAGGTCTTTATGTCAGTATGGTCAAAAATAAGCCTTCAAATTTTGGTTGTGTAAAATGCAGGATATTTCGGCCCTAATACCAGTTCGGAATTCTGTGGCCAATCGGTGCCGAGTACTGCCATTTATACGTTCGCTCGTAAGTAGATCGAAACTTACGGATTTCAGTCAATAAAAAAAAGTGGTTATATCCCCCCCACATCCGGCCTCACACTCACCAACTCCTGGGTATCCAGATTTGGTGACCGGGAAATAATAACTCGTCACAAAGTAAGTCCATATGTTGTTTAAGTTCAATAAATATTCATTAATCAAATTATGCAATGAGTGTTTTTTTTGGCGTTGTCATTGCATTAGTCGTAATTTGTTTGAATTTCCGGTCTAAATAAGTACAGCGGAAAAGTCAATAAATAACAAGAAATTGATGTCTTTTAGATATAATTATTAGCGCATTTTTGCAAATATATTTGTAAAAAGGTAGCTTTTAATCTCACTTTGGCTGGGTGGCTGGCAGTACATGCGAGCCCGTAGAAGAACGCTGTAAAAAGACGAGGAGTGTACATGTACCTATCGGGGCCGTGTAATTAACAACTTTCGGGACGGCGACATCTGGGCGCCATCTCCGAGCGTGTAACCTTTAGATTTTTCAGTTTTTTTCTATCTTCTTCTACAGTTTGTCTCCGATTGCTTTCAAATAGGTGTCGTCGGGATGATTCTTGTCAACGCGCACAACTTCTGCGTGGCGGAATTTTGTTTTTTTCCTAGGGGCGAAATAAACCACCTTTTGCACGGCGCGCTTCGAAGGCTAGTCGACTTTGGGCGCCCGAAAGTTTTTTAGAGCTCGAATCGCTGTCTCTCTTTCTCGTGTTGTCAATAGAAAGATCGAGCTATGAGAAGTACCCAAAAATTGAGTACCTACTATTTTGTACCGGGTTTTTAGCGAAATCCACCAAAATGCGAATTGCGAGTGAACGGGACGTCGGAAGTGGGTACCGACAGAGGGAATATGGTACCTCCCGACAAGATTTTACTGATGGCGGAGTCACAACTTCAAAAGCGAATTGCGGGTGCACGGGAAGTGGGAAGCGGGTACCTACGAAGGGAATGTGGTAGCTTTCGACAAGATCTTATTGATGGTGGAGTCAATACTGGCTAATAAATCACTGATCTACCAGACAAAAATGCGCTTAAGTCCCTTCGATCTCACACGAGGACTTTGATAATTTTTAGGGTCTTCAAGTTATTGTTTTCGACAGTTACGAGTACTTACTTCAAAGGTTCGTAAATAAAGGCGATTTAAAATATAAAGTTATGAAAAGAAAAAAAATTGTATATCAAAAAGACCACAACTTAATCAATAGCCAATTTAAACAAAAGACTATACGACGAATTTACAATATTTCTTGTTAGATGGTTCCAAGGCACTTTAATCTTTCGGAGATAGTATTTCAACTGGAGATGGAAAATTGAAAATATATTTCAAATGGCTCAATCTTTGTATTATATAGGAATGAAAATCTGATCATGACATCACTTCAAAAAGTATTGATCTTTTTTCAACCTACAAAAAGCGGATAAACAATGGATAAGACAAATATTGTAGCAATTTTGTGCTGTTGCGGTTGTTTCCAAACGGAAATGAAGACGAAAAGTGAGTTTGCGTTTAACACATTTGAAAGGGAATTTAGTAGGAGGTACACCGTTGCACTGCTCATCAAATTAGACACTTCAGAAATTAAACGATTAAGAATTTTTCAAAACCGCATTCATTATAAAGGCACGCAAGAAAGTATACTTGAAATATTAATTAACATTTTCAAGATTCTTCCGCTTCAAATTTCAACGCGAAATCATTTTTCAGCTCCCTTATCTTGCTGCGTTCTGAAATATTATGAAAATCGATTCAAAATACGTGGCATATTTTAATTATTACCGTCAATTCGCTGCTCCTCAAGTGGCGCTCATTGTAATTCTCTTGCTCGAGCATAATAACGCCGGGAACTTCGTTGGTTACAATTTGCAAAGGAGAATGAATCGGTCTAAAAGGATTGTTTGCGAGGTTCTCAATGGGTTTTAATTTTTTACTTCGAAAATAATTAAAGCTATCAAATCAAGTGAATCCTTAGATTTCGTTGAGGTTCATTTCCATTGTACGATTTCTTTTCTTTTGTTCTATACCGCGGATATTTCCGCACCTTATTCCGGCGGAATTTTATTTAGTATTCACAACCAAGCAAACTTTATTTTTTGCATATAAAATTGATTTATGGATAATCAAGGGGTGACACGTCCAGTTCCGGATCACGTTGTCTGATTATTCGTTTACCTGGATTTTATAGAAAATAGTATATTGAAAGACAAGTGTTACAATGCGACCTATTGTAATACGACTATCTTGTGGCACGAGTGGCGACGCGAAGCGTAGCCACGAGTGTCCGCAAGATAGGAGTATTACAATAAAGCGTTGTAACACGCGTTTTTCATACTATTTTTTCTATTTCGGTGCTTTAATTTAATTAAAAAAATCATTATCAGAAACTATAGGGAACATTAGAACTAACATGTTTTATGTTGGGAACACTTTTATGCCGTTAAGTTTTAGGTTGGCAGCGTAGTAAGACTGACATTTTGAAGTTCAAACATGGAAGTACCCAACGAAGTACCTACTTGTACTAACTAGTAACTGCCAACTTAAGAGATGAGTTACCAAAAAAAACGACTATAATCACTGTCTTTGTACAACTGTTTTCGGCCGAAAACAGTTGTACAAAATCATCATTGTAACACCGAAATAGAAATAATAATAATTAAACGTGCAACTAAGTAGACCTCAATAATTTGCATATCATAAAACGCGGAAAAAAATCTTCTTTCCAATGGTGGCATTATGAACTCTCTAAGTTAATTTGGAGAGCAACAATCTGCGAAAAACTGTTTTCCCATGTTAATTCCCTATGTTCGGTTTGAAAGTATTCACCCGGTATAATAGGCATTTCACACCGTTCCTTTGAATTTCGTTGCTTATTTGAGATTTTGATTAAAGAACAAATTGTTTTATAGAAGGTAACGAAAATAATGTTGCGACGTGTCGACTGCTTACATAAAACAGTATTTTTTTTACATAGGCTAAATATGGTTATTTTTTTGCATATGCATTTGCATAGGGATAATAAAAAAGTATGTACTTTCTAAAATCACCTACGCTAACACTATTGTCAATCAATGAATGTCGAACGCAAAATAATAACATTCCACTAATCCACTCGGGCTCGCAATGCACATGTAAAATCCAGAGACTTGTTATAACTAGACCGCGCGTAACGTAGATTTTACTATAAACGCCTGTTGTCAAGATAGGATAGGCAACCAACTGTTCTTCGCGGGGCAGACGTACGTTCTGTAGCTTGGCTTTAGCCATGTTTATTCTAAATTTTTGTAGCAAAAAAAGATAACATATAGCTGTTAACTGTATTAATCGAATTTATTGGTATTTTATTTGAACTAAATTGGTATATAACTGCCTTACTCTAGTCCTAATTTGATTTATATGTGTATTTTGGTGGTGAACACGTATGGGAAAATATACTCTTAAAACTAAAAATGTAAGTAAGTAGTAAGATATGATTATTTAGCGGATTTGTTTCAATATATGCCTATCCAAAAACCCAAATGGGCTGTAACTGTTATTTATTTTTCTGAGACTGCTGATAACCATTTTGTTTACAACGCGGTGTGGTGTGGATTGAATGAAAAACCTGAACACATTTTCAGCAATTTGGCAAATTTTTAATGCATCGCTTGATACGTGCAACAATCCTCCACGATTTTTTCTTTAAAAGCTTTGAATGACTCTCTGATGCGAATATCGCATCTGCACATATGGAACATTTAACAGACTTAGCTATTTTTCTTGTAACAAAACCTGAAATATACTTAGTACCAGTAAGTACTTAGTTACGTCTATACCTAATAGGCAAATAGGCATTGCCGTTGTCTTGCTGGTAAAGGATGTCGAATAATAGTTCTACGTTATTTTAAGTGAATGGGAAAGTCGAAAACGCTCGGCATTGCATTATTTTTTAACACCTTCGTAGGTATCTTTCTAAAATCGGCTTCATTCCCCGCAAATGCACTATGGTGGGAGTAAATTTTTCTCTTCGAATGGCTCTGATCCATTGGCCCTTTAAACTTTTATCCGTTGAAAATCAGCATATTATTTAAAAATTTATCGACAGAGTACATGGTGATAGGCACAAGTTAACCTAAGTTGATTGGTTTATTCTCAACAGAAATTTATCTGTTCACTAATTCGAGCTAATCACGAGAATGATTAATGAACGGAACATTTAAAATAACAGCTTATTTCATTATATTGCATATCATCTCAGCGATTTTTGCCCCGCGGTGCATTGTGTGTTGCATACTGTGTCGACAACACCTTAGATACGTTAAGCGCGGTCTAGTTATAGCAAGTCTCTGTTCAACATGTCCCGAAAATGAATTTTAAGTATGTGCGTTAATAAACCCACAATCTTTCACCCACGCACTTAATGCCCCACCCTGTATACTTAGGTACCCACTTTCTTATATAAGTACTAGTGATGTGGATTGTAAAATAACGATTTGTAAGTTACATAAAAAACGGTTATATTACGCGTAACTTACAAGAGGCCGGTTTTTTTATGTAATTTATGTCTTTTATGAAACTTAACTTACGTTTTTAATTTAAAAAAACCGTAATTTTTGTAAGTTACATAAATGTAATACCTATTTGATACATTTTGATTGGTACTACCACAGATCATCAACGTAATTACCAACGTAAACGATTCACCGTTGAATTTAGTTTGGTTTAATGAAGATGATACAGCCTCTAATTCGCGATCTGGAACTTCTTCCTCCAAACGACGCGTGATGGCGAAATACCTACTGCTTGGGTATTTTATTTAATACACCAAAATATATAATTTAACAAGTGTTTTTATTTTCAAACTCTCACAAAATTCAAAAAGGTTTATACAATATTGAAAAAAAAACATAAAAAACATAAATGAAAGGTAATGTTACAAAAATATTTGTAAATTACATAAAAAACATAAATTACTGGTAATTTTACTGTAAAATTACGGTTTTTAAAAAAAAATGGTAAGTTACATAAATTACATAAAATAGATAAACAATTGGTAATTTTACACGTAATATTAAGCACTTTAAAAAAAACGTGTAATTTAAAATCACTAGTTTCTAGTCTATAACTTTTGATTGAGAAGTCTGATCGAAAAAGTACGAATTGATTTGGATTCTACGCACCCAAATTAATAAGAAAAAGTGTTTCCCGAGAAATTTTGGTGTAGTCGATTTTTGGTAAAAAAGGAAGGTTATACACTGCCTTTTTTTGAGCCCCGAAAAAAAAATTGTCTCAGATCGACCCGAAAAAAAATTTTCTTATAGAATGTGGCCTGTAGAATCCATAATTTCAAACAGTTCCAAGATTGGGCTACTAGTTCAAAAGTTACAGCCCTTTGAATTTTTTTCGAAATTGGTTTCTAGTCTATAACTTTTGATTGAGAAGTCTGATCGAAAAAGTACGAATTGTTTTGGATTCTTCGCACCAAAATTAATAAGAAAAAGTGTTTTCCCGAGAAATTTTGGTGCAGTCGATTTTTGGTAAAAAAGGAAGGTTATACACTGCCTTTTTTTGAGCCCGAAAAAAAAATTGTCTCAGATCGACCCGGAAAAAAATTTTCTTATAGAATGTGGCCTGTAGAATCCATAATTTCAAACAGTTCCCAGATTGGGCTACTAGTTCAAAAGTTACAGCCCTTTGAATTTTCTTTCGAAATTGGTTTCTAGTCTATAACTTTTGATTGAGAGGTCTGATCGAAAAAGTACGAATTGTTTTGGATTCTACGCACCAAAATAATAAGAAAAAGTGTTTTCCCGAGAAATTTGGTGCAGCGGATTATTTGGGTAAAAAGGAAGGTTGTACACTGCCTTTTTTGAGGTCGAAAATAAACTTGTCTCAGATCGACCCGGAAAAAAAATTTTCTTATAGAATGTGGCCTGTAGAATCCATAATTTCAAACAGTTCCAAGATTGGGCTACTAGTTCAAAAGTACAGCCCTTTGAATTTTCTTTCGAATTTGGTTTCTAGTCTATAACTTTTGATTGAGAAGTCTAATCGAAAAAGTACGAATTGTTTTGGATTCTACGCATCAAAATTAATAAGAAAAAGTGTTTTCCCGAGAAATTTTGGTGTAGTCGATTTTTGGTAAAAAAGGAAGGTTATACACTGCCTTTTTTTGAGGCCCGAAAAAAAATTGTCTCAGATCGACCCGGAAAAAAAAATTTTCTTATAGAATGTGGCCTGTAGAATCCATAATTTCAAACAGTTCCAAGATTGGGCTACTAGTTCAAGAGTTACAGCCCTTTGAATTTTCTTTCGAAATTGGTTTCTAGTCTATAACTTTTGATTGAGAAGTCTGATCGAAAAAGTACGAATTGATTTGGATTTTACGCACCCAAATTAATAAGAAAAAGTGTTTTCCCGAGAAATTTTGGTGTAGTCGATTTTTGGTAAAAAAGGAAGGTTTATACACTGCCTTTTTTTGAGCCCCGAAAAAAAAATTGTCTCAGATCGACCCGGAAAAAAATTTTCTTATAGAATGTGGCCTGTAGAATCCATAATTTCAAACAGTTCCAAGATTGGGCTACTAGTTCAAAAGTTACAGCCCTTTGAATTTTCTTTCGAAATTGTTTTCTAGTCTATAACTTTTGATTGAGAAGTCTGATCGAAAAAGTACGAATTGTTTTGGATTCTACGCACCAAAATTAATAAGAAAAAGTGTTTTCCCGAGAATTTTGGTGCAGTCGATTTTTGGTAAAAAAGCAAGGTTGTACACTGCCTTTTTTTGAGGCCCAAAAAAAAATTGTCTCAGATCGACCCGGAAAAAAATTTTCTTATAGAATGTGGCCTGTAGAATCCATAATTTCAAACAGTTCCAAGATTGGGCTACTAGTTCAAAAGTTACAGCCCTTTGAATTTTCTTTCGAAATTTGTTTCTAGCGAGGTTTCTAGTCCATAACTTTTGATTGAGAAGTCTGATCGAAAAAGTACGAATTGTTTTGGATTCTACGCACCAAAATTAATAAGAAAAAGTGTTTTCCCGAGAAATTTTGGTGCAGTCGATTTTTGGTAAAAAAGGAAGGTTATACACTGCCTTTTTTTGAGCCCCGAAAAAAAAATTGTCTCAGATCGACCCGGAAAAAAATTTTCTTATAGAATGTGGCCTGTAGAATCCATAATTTCAAACAGTTCCAAGATTGGGCTACTAGTTCAAAAGTTACAGCCCTTTGAATTTCTTTTCGAAATTGGTTTCTAGTCTATAACTTTTGATTGAGAAGTCTGATCGAAAAAGTACGAATTGATTTGGATTCTACGCACCCAAATTAATAAGAAAAAGTGTTTTCCCGGGAAATTTTGCTGTAGTCGATTTTTGGTAAAAAAGGAAGGTTATACACTGCCTTTTTTTGAGGCCCGAAAAACAAATTGTCTCAGATCGGCCCGGAAAAAAATTTCCTTATAGAATTTCAAACAGTTCCAAGATTGGGGTACTAGTTCAAAATTTACAGCCCTTTGAATTTTTTTTCGAAATTGGTTTCTAAGGTACTGTCGTTCACTTGGTAATTTTTTTGAACTGTGCGCACTTACTTCTTGCTTTGCTAAATCATTATCTATATTTAATCCTTTCAATTTTTATTTGTTTTGCATTCCAACGCTTTTCTAGGGCCAGTACGTTTTTTGGAAATCAAACTGAGTAGTTTTGTGTCCTAATCATTTTTTTGTCACTCCATTTCCTTTGTCTTCAATTCTAATCTTATTTCATTGTTGGTTTTTACAAACTCTGTATTTTGGTGTTACACAATACAAATCCTCCCCATATTACTCCACTTATATATTTAAAAAAATGTAAAAAACAGCCACAGGCTCTCAAATAATTAATTACGTTGATTTTTATACCACTCGCATTCTTCTCAGACTCAGACCTCCTAGATGATAGTGTTAGGGCCCCTAGATTTTACGTTGTGTCTTGTAGTACTTTAAGTTACAATTTTAGAAGTCGTCGTCTGCCAGTTCTTTTATTTGAAGTAGCACAGAAACAAGGTAAATTAAAGACATAATAAGTGTTTATTTAGGTTTATTATTTAATTAGCACTGTAGAAATGAACTCTTGCAATCCACACAAACATTTTACAAAAAATGCGCCATGGAAGAGACAATTTTCTTTGGAAATTAAAAAGCGCAGGGGCCTAGAGGGAAACGATTTTGAATTTTTGGTGTGGTGATGAATTAATTTAAATTAACGTGAATTAATTTGAAGTTTTGTGACTTAACTTGAATTAACGTGAATTATTTTGAATTAACGTAAATTAATTTAAATTTTTGGTGTGCACTAAAAATGGTACTTGTTTCCCCCTAGGTACGGGCGTTTCAGAATAGTCAAATTGCAAAATTGAAAATTGAATTTCAAGCTGTTGTCATTTCAATATTCAATTTGAAAAATCTTGAATAACTTAAAAACCTTTGATGCTGGGAAATCTAACGACGTAGGTTTTCATGTAGATTTCGAAAAGGTAAATTTGTGGCCTCAAAATAGAGTCGCAAGCACGTGACGAATCATCCACTCCACTTCCCAAAGGAGGCAAATCGAAGATCTGATACAAAAGTCTAATAAAGAGTTGCCATTGCCAGAGAAAGAAGAAGTTAACCTCTATCAGCTAGCATCTTCATCATGAATTCCTGACTCCACCCAGAAGAGAAGATTCCAATCCCATACTCTCATACTATTTACATTATTTCATGTGTTTTGTACTGACATGAACGCACGAGTTCTTCTTATGTGAATTAGAAGATTTCAAGGAAAAATGCACACATTGCTTTAATTTTTATTTACTAGTTAAATTTAACGTGCTTCTGATACGCTTTAAACGAAGTTACTATCGGTTCCATGGTGTAATGGTTAGCACTCTGGACTTTGAATCCAGCGATCCGAGTTCAAATCTCGGTGGAACCTGTAAATTTTTGCTATTGAAGCACTTCAATTAATATGTACTGTACTATAAATAAGCCACAAACTATCTGCTCGTTCTATGTAAACATTGTGTGTAAATAGCGATTGCTAATCTCCATCACAAAAAAACTAGTATTCTTCCAATTAATGCAGCACGAGAATATTAGATTAAAATACCCAAATTTCTAAAACATTGCGTGGCAACTTCAAAACTTACCACCCCCCATGTCTTAGTAAATAAACGAGATATTTTAAAAAATCAAAATCCGTTTCGATAATTCGGAGGGGGAATCACAATGACATAGTTGGCGACGCACCCCCTCCAACCCCCTGCGCCCCAGCCACCCAAACTTTTAAATCTTAAATAGTGACCCCCCATGTGTGATACGTCGTTGGAAAGCTCTGAAAAAATGCTTTCCAACCATACCAAATAGCATTACATTTAGCTTAGTAATTATCGTGCAAATTGCCACCCTGTATATAGTTGTTATTACCACTACCACCACTACCATCTTGCAATAAAGTGAAGCGCATTCTCTCTTGTGGCGATTTTAATGTTTATTTTAACACTTGCAGTGCTCTGGGTACTGAGCTATGCAATCTACTTTCTTCTTTTGGTTACGTGAAGACTATTCTAGATGCCACAAGAAAACGAAACTACATTGGTAATATATTTTTCAATTTTTCTTTTGACAGTTTCATCTCTGGTACCATAGGCACTAACTTATCAGATCATTTAGGCCAATGCATCACAGTTTCACCTAGCTCGCGATGTTTTCAAGTTTCAGCCTATTACCAGTAAAGGACGCCTCGCATTGTTTATATACTAACTAATTGTACCTTTAATTATTTAAATGATACAAAACTAATTCGATTTACTTTCACTTCACCAATAAAAAATTGGAAGGTTATTGAGATCACTCCAAAATTTGATTTTGACATTTCACCAGATTTACGCGTTTCAATGGTCCTATAGTAGTCAAAGAAAGTGGTTTTTAAAAAATGTCTGTCTGTACCGGGTGACCCAATAAGACCTGTCCTCGGCCATAGCTCGGGAACCGTACGTGGCAGGTATAAGACAGGGGTAAAAAAAATTATTGGGTAAATCAGTCATGAAGGAATCGCTGGAAACTATTTTCAAGTTCTAAAAATGGCCACCAGAGGGCGTAACTGCCATCTTAAATTTTAAAATTGCATTTTATTTAAATTTCGCATAATAAACTAAAAAAATTTTTCACATTTTTAAAAAGAACCAGTTTATCATTTTCGTAAAAAAACTCAGTTATTTCAAAAACAAAGATGATGTGGGGTGTTCAATTGTTTTTGCAATAACCTGCTTTATTTGAACAAATTTGGTATCGTTGAAAAGAGCATTAGCGTTAAAGGGTGTAACATGTTACAAGAAAGATAAGTATTTTTCTGTAATAAAATATGGGCTGTTCCATTTTTAAAAAAACGCAAGTTTGATACGCCACTGGAATACAGTACGCCCCTGGCGATAAAAAAATTAGAAATATGGCGTTATTCTGTACAATTTTACTTTTTTTGGTATTGTTTATGGTAAAGGAATTACGATCCGAGGGGTCTTAGGTGCGACACCCTGTATAACGCGTGCCGTGTAGATATCATAAGCATTTTATACAAAACCGTCCAATAAAGAAGTCACTCTACGATCACTTTTAGTGGAAAGAATTACACATTACACACACTAATAAATCATTATTTCTCCGTTGGAATCATAAATGTACGAAAGCTAATGGCCTCCTCTTGCCAATCTGTAGGTATGGGCGTCCATGTGATTAGAGAATTCCTCTTTATAACAAGGAAAGGTGCATTCACTTTAATCTTTATACAATTTTGCCTTTTTACTAGACGTTTGAATTAAATTAGCTATCGCATACGGTAATTTGAAAACACGTACGATGCACTCATAATTACGTCTCATAATTTTTTTTTACATAATACGAGTAAAAGTCAGGAAAATGTCACATTGCTGGCGAGGAAATTTTGAAGTACGAGGCCCCTTTGGGGCCGAGTTCTTTAATTTCCGAGTCAAGTAATGTCATTTTACTGACGAGTTTTGTATTAAATTTTACCCGAAATCGTGTTTTAATATAACATTTCAATTTTTATATGGAACTTTTGATTAATGTCAATCTGTCAGTGATGACAGGAGTCATTATAAACATTTAGCAATGTCACAGATGCGGCCGGTAAAGTGACGGTGTGGCCGGTAAAGTGACAGGTGTGGCCAGTAAAGTGACAAGGACGATTTTGGGTAAACCTATTTACTGTTATATCAGAGCCGGTTAAATTTCTACATGAAATTTACATGTACACGTCAAAGCGCACTTAGAAATTCAGGTGTACCATTGGCAGCTTTAAATATAATGTGAGATGCAATTTGCCTCTTCTAATCTTCTATCGAGATCAGTACCGGTTCCATGGTGTAATGGTTAGCACTCTGGACTCTGAATCCAGCGATCCGAGTTCAAATCTCGGTGGAACCTGTAAATTTTGTTACTGGAATACTTCAAGGAAAAGGCGCGACGTGTCGATTCTGCTTGCCAAAAGTCTTTCACGCTTATATTCTTATTGCATGATTTTTATGTAGGTCTTTTTTACCACATTGCTGCGTAGGTTTTGATATTTCATATTTCTGAAACGTCGTCAGAATTTGAGGACTTCAAATTTGGAAAGAGAAAGATCTATTCAGATCAGTTTAACACCTTTATATACCAGTCTCACAAAAATGAATATTTCTCCATATATGGATTCCTCTTTATAACAAGGCAGGATGCTTTCACTTCTTTAATTTTCATTTTCTATCTTTACATACAGAAATTAAACCAGCATTCTGCATTTTATTCGAGGTTATTTTAGAACACGTAGTAATACATTTGATAAACTTATTTATTATTATCGTAACCTTGAAAGTTATTGATATGAGATTAAATCGGCTTTTACTAATCTTTTAAGGAGATTAGTATCGGTTCCATGGTGTAATGGTTAGCACTCTGGACTTTGAATCCAGCGATCCGAGTTCAAATCTCGGTGGAACCTGTACATTTTTACTATTAAAAACACTTCGATAAAAATGTGTCACGTGTAAATTCTAATTGCCAAAAGATATAAATATTATGTGCTCGTTATTATACAAAATGGCAATCTGCCACTTTCATAAGTTTTTTTTTAATGCACAAGAAGTAGAAATATTTTTTAATTTTCGTGCACGTGTTCTATAATGGGTGGACGGTGAAAGTTCCTGGGCCCCAAGAAGCACATTTTTGGACGAAAAAAAAAGCTTTATCTTTATCTTATTCACTGTGCTTATCTGAATGTATTAATAACTAATAACAATGTTTCATTATCACAACCCACTTGAGGAGTATTTTCGTATGATTGGCCATGGCAGTGAATGGCACTCTGTCAAACACGTGTCTCTGCATCTACGAATACGACACACAAAGTACTAATCTGTAACGTCCCCAAGATTCTCAAAATTTCGCAACCATAACTGAAAGTAACGTTTTTGGATGCCCACGAGTTTGAAATTCATTGCTAAGTTAAAAACTTGAAAAAATGTAAACTTTTGAACGGGCTTTTGTTCTCTTTGAGCAATTCTCGACCTTTTGTTAAATTCCGCTTGAACGCCTCTCAAGGTTCTTCAACTTCTCATGAAGTTCGCCGTCATGTTTCTTTCAAATGTTTCTTAGATTCTCAAATTCATGGCCCCCTTAAGTTTCTCTTAATCTTTTTTTAATATCTCACATTTCCTCTTGACTTTTAGCGCTTTTTTGCAAAATTATTCTTTGGCCGGCTGGCTGTCTGGCTGACCATCCGTAAAAGATCGCTTGTAGAAGGAGCGTACGTGTACCTACCAACTTTATGGATGGGGCTACATGATGTGGGGCGACATCTGGGCGCCAACCCCTAGCGTTGTTTACGAACGTGGTGATTTTTCATTTTTTCCTCTTCTTTTACAGTTTTGGTCCGATTGTATTCCAACTAGTCGTCGTCGAAAAGATCTTGTAAAACTCCTGCGTGCTGGAATTTTTTTCCTATGGGCGCAATTAACCACCTTTTGCAAGGCGCGCGTTTTCGAGGGGTAGCCGACTTCGGGTACCCAAAACTTACTTTCCGCTGAGAATTTTGCCATACAGTTTAAACTTTCATAAAGCGCAAATCTCGGTCTCTCTTTCTCGTATCGTCAACAGAAACTCGAACTATGAGAAGTGCCCCAAAAATTGAGTACTATTTTGTGCCGGGTTTTAGCGTTATTTATTTATTATCCCTCTCTTGTTCTGGGCGGAAAGAGCTACTAAAAACTCAATTGTGAATATCTCGAAAATGTTGAAGGGAGATACCTACAAAGAGAAAATGCAATATTTCGGAGGTCTAAGGGTTTGATACTTTTTGCATTATACAGGGTGTTACATATATGTACGTAAAAGTATGTAAGAAAAATTGGGTGGTAAAGGAGATCCAAGCAAGAATTTTTTCCAAATAAACCGAAGGTCCAACGTGTTTCGTTTGGGAGCCGGTGAAATTTGGATTTCTTCTATAATTTTTTCTCAGCAACCATGAGAGTTGGAAAGACTGGTGGCAAGTCTCCCATTTTTTTCTTCTCTGTTGTCTTCCTTTTTCCGAGACTTTTAATTTGATACATGTCAAAGGCTGCTTCAAAGTCTCGGAAAAAGGAAAACAACAGTGAAGAAAAAAATTGGGGGTGTCATTTGAAAAAATGGTGTTACGGATATTTAAAAATTTAAAAGTTGAGAGCTTTGAAAAAGTGACGAAGTCTCACTTTTTTAGACGGTTACGCATACCATAAAAAATTCGATCTTTCCTTAATAAAGTAGTGAAAACTGTTTTGCAATATCTCTCACCGTTTTCGAATAATAACTTTTTAAAATCCCTGCAAATTCAATTTTTGACATAAAAACTTGAATACCGACAAAGCCCTTGGAGCAAAGGGTCAACTATGGGTATCGTTGTACTTCAAATTCGACGTAGAATCCGAAAATGTAGAAAAAATAGGGTCCCTATTTAAAATAACAAAGTTGATGGCCACTTCCGGTATTTGCGGAAGTGGCGCTATCTTGAAGAAAATATTTTAGTTCAATTCATCATGTGCCAAAACCCTTAAAGGACTTTTCAGTTTAGTTTCATTTTTAAAATAGTTTCATTTTCACTTTTTTAAATGGAACACCCTGTAAAAAAACTAGAGAATAAATTTGATAGTAAAAAAACAAATATCTTGGTTTTCCTAGTTTTTATATTTTAATCTTAAATAAGTTATAAAAGTGTTTTTACCTATTCTCCAGTTTTTGGACTTAAAAATGAATTGTTTAAAAAATGAATTAATCGATATGATTTTTGTTTTGGACAAGGCAGATAAAAATTGCCTTTTTTGCATGGTCACCACGATATTATGTGAATTACATATAACTTATTTAAGATTTGAATATAAAAACCAGGAAAACCAAGATATTTCGAAAACTATTGGAGATAGGTATAGGACATTATTATCAAAAGTTAAACGTTTTTGAAGGAGCTAAAAGATGACAGAAAAATATACGGTCTATTTAAAAAAAGTAATCCTGGATTTTTTAAATCAAGTTTTGTAACTTTGGACCTACAAACAAAAACACCCTGTAAGCTATTTTTTATTATTATTTATTATAGTTTTTCGGATATTTGATGCAATTCTAATGTCTAAAAAACGGTAATCGTTTGAGCTAGATAGCTAAAAATTATTGGCCAACCCTCGCAGAAACCTTTTTACATTATTAAATCAAGTGGAATATTTCAAAGCGTATAGGACAAGCTATTCACAATACAAAAGATAATAAATAGACTAGTTTTGTGTTAGTCAGGGGCATATGTTATCAGTTTCGTCACTCGCATTAGTGGACATTACCGTACAGAGGTAGTGTTGTGTTGATATCCGAATCGGTCGGTCGTTTCGCATTTGCGGGAATACTAAGGGTAAGTATTTTGTAACCTCAAAACACCCTGTAAGGTATTTTATTAAGGTTTGATCGTAGATGTATTTATTTGACTTTTACATTACCCAGGATAAAAGAAAGTTTAAGTAATCATTTTGACAATAAACTGACGTTTGCAAATGCCAAGTTTTTCTTACAAATCGAATTATCCTTAAATCTACTAGTTTTTCGAATATTAACCATAATAATAAAAAAAGTCATACAATTACACGTAGAATTAAAAAATGCATTCAAATACAGGGGGTTCCATTTAAACAAAGCGTCCTACTTTGTGAGCGGACCTTGTATTATTCCAAATATTTTTAAAATTAATAAGATACTCTGCGCAATCGTTTACTCACCCTGTACACCACCTCTGCGATGTTCAGATCCGTTCCCAATTGCCCAGAAGACTTTGAACATCGCTTTATGTTACTCTTCAAGTTTATCCCAAGTTCCTTTATATGCCGTTATCGAAGTCTTTCAGCGCCTTTTACGCTACCCTCACCATCCCAGCAGATTTATTCTCGCAAAATTGATTTTTCAGTTTAAAAAAAATTATAAAAACACCGTGGGTTATTCGTGGGCATGAAAAAAAATTTGGTTTCAAGAAAATTCGCCTCTTGAGTTTCATCCCAAAGAAAACTCATTCTCGGAGCATTTGCTTCCAGATGATTCGCTCTCGGAAATTTTACAGGCAGTACCTTCTCTCCCAAGCAAAATTCGCTCCCAGGGCATTCACCATATCATCTTTACTACCATGATGATTGATATGTCACGCCACGTTTCGTAAGAATTGTACTCCATCATTACTGAACTAGCCCATAACAGTGGTCAAAAATAGGGGTGAAAATCGCTGTTTAAAAATTACAAAAAATGTTAAAAAATTTACGAAGGAACCCGCTAGCTAGAGATATATAAAGAAACTAGAGCCGTAAATCACAATATTTAAGTTCTCACATTTCGGTCTAGGTACGATCGACTAAAAATGAAACCTTTCTTACTAAATTTCAGCGTTTTTTCATTTTTTTACATAGTCTCTCGTCAGTATTTGTAGAGCTCGACAATAACTTCAATACAATGGGGTAAATAAACTAAATCCTGGGAGAGGCGGCAACGCCAGGCACATGTCAAAGTATCAAGTATCAACAGAACAAATATGCAGATGAGGGTCACAACTTAAAATGCCTCGAGAGTACCCACAAAAGGAGAGTGGAAGGTCTGGACGAAACGTGGGTTCAAAGTACGTCTAATATCTTGAATGTTATTAAAGTACTAAAAAGAGCACTTTTTCTGTACATGGTAGGTGCACAATTTACGAGCGCCCTGGCGGTGAAGTTGACCCAACTACTGAAAGCATGATTTTTTTTTTAATTTAGGTCAATAAATAAAGCTCAACTATTCACTATTATTGTACGTTTCCCTCGCATTCCAAGAGTATTTCTTTTAAATATTTGCAGTTGTATTTGCTTTCAAGTCGGAAAACAAAAAGTTTGCGGTCATACCCTGCAAGAAATGTTCAACAGCTGCGTGCTCGCCTTTAAGATATATGGAACAGTTACTGCCAAACTTTATTAAATATGATGTTAAGCAGTAAAAGGTGATTTAAGGCAATGGTATCTTTCTTTAAATTCCATATATTATATAACTTTCCTAACGATGACGATTTCTTGTGATTTTTGATTCATTATTTTTCACGGATGTAAGTAATTAACCTGAAATTTATGGCGATTCTAATTCACGTAAGTAATTCGGTATATAGAAGAAAAAATAAAAGACAAATATTTTCTAGTTCGATTCTAATATTTCAAAATTAAGTTGGTATTTATTAACTTAAACTACATTTGCATAAAATATGTGCTTAAAAATTAAAATGTGATAAAAATATGCATGCATTTTTGCAATCCATCAAAATATGCATTTATATGTCCCTTCAAATTCGTGTATTGTGCTCATTAGTCCAGTCATGGGCTAAAGTATATTATTTATAATTTGTTTCGGATATTGTTAAAGCTAATTAAAAACGATTGTTTAAACGAATAATTCCACTGTTCCTAACGAAAATTTAATAAAACTGAAGAATACGATAAGCCGTACAAACTTCAAATTTAATATATCTCGAGTGGAAACACAGAAGCAGATACCTACACTTATTTAAAGGTTAGAGACCCTTTAAATAAATAGTAGGTACGATTTGAAGAGACGAAATGCATTAACATTGCCTTTGTCTGATTGAACTACCTACACGTACAAAGAACAACGTTTATTTAACCAATTTCCACTTCATCGTCCTAATTAAAATAACTTTTTGGCGTAAAACTGAAACCGGTAGCGTGTACGAGCGAAACATAATATACAAATGAAATTATGAAATAGGTAGCTATACAGTCGGTCAAAAATGTAGGTAGTTCATTAATTATGTATTAGACGCATAAATAATAATTAAATCTTAATTGCAACGATACAATTGCTTTGGTAAAAACATAAGCAGTAATTATGTAAATAAAACTATATTTAGGTTATACGGTTTATTTACGAATTTATAATTGGATATTTTTATATTTGTTGATGTTTATTAATAATTGATTATTTATAAGGTTCCATGGTGTAACGGTTAGCACTCTGGACTTTGAATCCAGCGATCCGAGTTCAAATCTCGGTGGAACCTTTCAGTTTTTTGTTAAACAACAAACTGTAGCTGCTCGGAAGAGGCTTAAAGTTCACATTTATTTTGGGTTATTTACGTTATTAAAAATATTGTTCATAAAGTGCTTGCCATTCCAACCCTCTCCCTGTTTAAAATGCCTAACATCTTTTTAAATTTTTTCAATAAAAAAACCAAATGGCCAAGTATGATACTATGGGTAACCTAATTTCGTGTTTTATTTCAGATGGTGCTTCAGGAGGTGGATGCATACCACTAGTGACACCTTCAACTCTTTTGTTATCGAGTCGAGGTCGGGTAAAATTGTATCAAAATCCAATCTTATTAAGATGCGGCCCACCAGCACATCTATCAAGTTACTTAGCACCAGAATATCGACCAACCAAGCTATGTTCGGATACAGAAACGGAAAAGGTAAACTATTTTTAGCTATTATTATTTGGCGAAGATAAACTACCGATTGTAATTTGTAATTTTGATTTAAAAAATCAAAAATTGCACAAATACCTCCGTTTACATGTCTAGTGAATGATTTATGGAAGCTGTACCTTAGTTTTTTTAGCATTCATCTCCACACACCCAACTACCCCCACTTTAAAATGATAATATGCATCCCCCATCGAGTGGGACATCATTTTGAAAGCCATAAAATTGTCACGTTTTGATTGCATACAATTTATTTTATTAAATGCTCACAGTTATTTTCACTAACACACAGGCAATAACAAAAGTGTCTCTTGAATGTGGTCTACATTATTCAGTATCGTAGCTCCTGAATATTGTCAGGTGAAACCGTTCTCGAATGTTGCCCAAGCCGAATGAAGTCCGTGGTGGCCATTCTTGCAATCCATTTACCAGGATACCGTCCATTGAGGATAATATGGCGGAGCCCCATTTTCAAGAAAGTGGGGATTTTCTTCGTCTAGCAGCAAACCCTTATTGCCGTCCACTGGACTTTCCAAAGATTGTGTAATCAGAGAGTTTATCACTTTTTCCAATAGAAGAATATCTGCCCAAACATTGATTTTCTGCATATAGCCGAGGGCCTATCTATCGTTTTGTATGTGTAACGTTACACAAATTAGAGACAAATTAGAAGCGCGCTGATATTTAACAAGGTACTTTGCTTTAAGAGTCTAAATACCCTCTGAAACCACCCTCTAAGTGGGATAAAATCTACCTTTTTTGAAATTTTTCTTAATAACTCTAAAATGAAGCATTTTAAGAAAAAATGTCAAGACAGGAAATTTGTGGAGAAGAAAATGCCGGACAGATATACATCAAATTTTTAGATGCTGAGTGGAGCAGATAAAATACTGTTTTCTGAAAGTGTAGTGGTTGGTCCATATTCTCGTATTTGGGATGTAGTAAATGAGATTCTGTTTGCTTTCCCAAATTTAATTTAATTTCTGTTTCTGGCTTACATATATACAGAGTGTAGCACCCAAGACCCCTCGGATTATAATTCCTTTACGGCCTTTACCATAAAAACTACCGAAAAAAATCTTAGAGCAAAATTGTACCCCTGGCGTGTTTCTAAAATATTTTTGTACGCCAAGGGCGTGCTGTATTCCAGTTTTAATTTAATTTTGTAGTCGATGTTTGGTAAACAAGGAAGGTTATACACTGCCTTTTTTTGAGCCTCAAAAAAAATTGTCTCAGATCGACCGGAAAAAAAATTTTCTTATAGAATGTGCCCTGTAGAATCCATAATTTCAAACAGTTCGAAGATTGGGCTAATAGTTCAAAAGTTACAGCCCTTTGAATTTTCTTTCGAAATTGGTTTCTAGTCTATAACTTTTGATTGAGAAGTCTAATCGAAAAAGTACGAATTGTTTTGGATTCTACGTCCCAAAATTAATAAGAAAAAGTGTTTTCCCGATAAATTTTGGTGTAGTCGATTTTTGGTAAAAAAGGAAGGTTATACACTGCCTTTTTTTGAGTCTCGAAAAAAAAATTGTCTCAGATCGACCGGGAAAAAAATTTTCTTATAGAATGTGCCCTGTAGAATCCATAATTCAAACAGTTCGAAGATTGGGCTAATAGTTCAAAAGTTACAGCCCTTTGAATTTTCTTTCGAAATTGGTTTCTAGTCTATAACTTTTGATTGAGAAGTCTGATCGAAAAAGTACGAATTGTTTTGGATTCTACGCACCAAAATTAATAAGAAAAAGTGTTTTCCCGAGAAATTTTGGTGCAGTCGATTTTTGGTAAAAAAGGAAGGTTATACACTGCCTNTCCCATATAAGGAGTAATTATCGAAACCTTTGAGATTTACACAAACTACTCTAGTTAAATAATAATTATTATAAATAAAATAATTGATGATCTGAGCATTTATACATCTCTGTTTAAAATGCGAGGGTCATTTTTTAAACTAGAATTGCGATCCTATTGAAAGTTAACAATATTTATTAAGATAATCACGATTAGTCATTGAAAATGAACCATTAAAGACATTCAAGCGCCCTATTTATTACAGCAATTAATTACTATCGTTAATAAATATTACAAACGTTACTTATTACACAAATTAACTTAATAAATTCCCACTCTGGCAATATCATTCTCATACAATACGTTACTGAAACAGCTTATAGTATATTAAACTGCGTTCCGTAAATTACCATTATACACAATTTTACAATGGAAATAGAACGGCCTTACGCTATAAATCATTTCTACACCCAGTTATTACATGAAAGAATTGCTCAACGATTTGATCTTGTACAATATAGGATAACATCTCCACTGATTGCCAGTGAAGCCTCTTTGTGCTTATTCGAGCTTAACAGAAAATTCTTTAGAACGAAAGCTATTCAACGTTTTTTACTTATATACATCTCTCCGGCAGCAGGTCCTTTAATAAAGAGTGATTAAATACCATTAAAAAGTTTCTCCCTTTGAAATTATTTTCGAATCAAATTCTGTGCAGCGCCATTATGCTCGCTCAGTTCGTAAATTTCTAAATAAGAGGCGAAGTGTTTCCAAATCCCCCGAAGGTGCGAAATAAATCACGAAGACGTCAAAGTATGCTATAATCATCGTGAACAGTTCAATAATGTAATTCAATTTTACGTGTAGCCGTACGCATGTGCACTGCTGGATTGTATACATATATTAGCAATAAATTACAGCACACGTTCTTATTGATCGCGCTTGATAACTCTATACCGGTGTGAATATACCGTGGGTAGTAATTCAAATACGACACATTATGAAGCAGTGACTTCGACCTTGAACTTTACGCAAAATAAGAAGGGCACAAAACGCATTTCAGGAGTAGGTACGCACCAGGGGCATATTTCTTACGTACCGCTAGAACGTGTGAGAATTTTTTGTAAAGGTCGACAGGGCGAGAGTATTTCAGAAAATAATACGATTTACTTTCCATTTACAGTTAGTGCTCCAAACGTTTACTGCGTGCTTGAAAAATCATAAGAGCGAGCTAGTATACCTAGGTAAAAGAGAAGTAACACAAGTTACAGAAAGCTGAAATTCAATTATGATGAGACATGATATGCGAATGAAGATGATGGAACTAAGGCCTTACCTAAAATAGAATTTACGCTTGATGTACCACTAACTACATATCTTAGGGAAATTTTGCATTTTATAACGATCCTTGTACGTCGTTATATTTTCAATTTAATCCGTGATACGAGATCGAAATATCGTTTCCAATTTTAAAAGGTACCAATTTTGGCCATATGTATAACACTTTCAACGCAAAGATGCAATAAATATACATTAATTAACATGTTTGATTATTTTTTAATAATCCACGTTTATTTATTTAATATCTACAGGCAGGACCCTTACTTATACACTGCCTTTTTTTGAGCCCCGAAAAAAAAATTGTCTCAGACCGACCCGGAAAAAAATTTTTCTTATAGAATGTGGCCTGTAGAATCCATAATTTCAAACAGTTCCAAGATTGGGCTACTAGTTCAAAAGTTACAGCCCTTTGAATTTTTTTTTCAAATTGGTTTCTAAGTCTATAACTTTTCATTGAGAAGTCTGATCGAAAAAGTACGAATTGATTTGTATTCTACGCACCCAAATTAATAAGAAAAAGTGTTTTCCCGAGAAATTTTGGTGTAGTCGATTTTTGGTAAAAAAGGAAGGTTATACACTGCCTTTTTTTGAGCCACGAAGAAAAATTGTCTCAGATCGACCGGAAAAAATATTTTCTTATAGAATGTGGCCTGTAGAATCCATAATTTCAAACAGTTCCAAGATTGGGCTACTAGTTCAAAAGTTACAGCCTTTTTAATTTTTTTTCGAAATTGGTTTCTAGTCTATAACTTTTGATTGAGAAGTCTGATCGAAAAAGTACGAATTGTTTTGGATTCTACGCACCAAAATTAATAAGAAAGTGTTTTCCCGAGAAATTTTGGTGCAGTCGATTTTTGGTAAAAAAGGAAGGTTATACACTGCCTTTTTTTGAGCCTCGAAAAAAAAATTGTCTCAGATCGACCCGGAAAAAAAATTTTCTTATAGAATGTGGCCTGTAGAATCCATAATTTCAAACAGTTCCAAGATTGGGCTATTAGTTCAAAAGTTACAGCCTTTTGAATTTTCTTTCGAAATTGGTTTCTAGTCTATAACTTTTGATTGAGAAGTCTGATCGAAAAAGTACGAATTGTTTTGGATTCTACGCACCAAAATTAATAAGAAAAGGTGTTTTCCCGAGAAATTTTGGTGTAGTCGATTTTTGGTAAAAAAGGAAGGTTATACACTGCCTTTTTTTGAGCCCCGAAAAAAAATTGTCTCAGATCGACCCGGAAAAAAATTTTCTTATAGAATGTGGCCTGTAGAATCCATAATTTCAAACAGTTCCAAGATTGGGCTACTAGTTCAAAAGTTACAGCCCTTTGAATTTTCTTTCGAAATTGGTTTCTAGTCTATAACTTTTGATTGAGAAGTCTAATCGAAAAAGTACGAATTGTTTTGGATTCTACGCACCAAAATTAATAAGAAAAAGTGTTTTCCCGAGAAATTTTGGTGCAGTCGATTTTTGGTAAAAAAGGAAGGTTATACACTGCCTTTTTTTGAGGTCCCGAAAAAAAAATTGTCTCAGATCGACCCGGAAAAAAAATTTTCTTATAGAATGTGGCCTGTAGAATCCATAATTTCAAACAGTTCCAAGATTGGGCTACTAGTTCAAAAGTTACAGCCCTTTGAATTTTCTTTCGAAATTGGTTTCTAGTCTATAACTTTTGATTGAGAAGTCTAATCGAAAAAGTACGAATTGTTTTGGATTCTACGCACCAAAATTAATAAGAAAAAGTGTTTTCCCGATAAATTTTGGTGTAGTCGATTTTTGGTAAAAAAGGAAGGTTATACACTGCCTTTTTTTGAGCCCGAAAAAAAAATTGTCTCAGATCGACCCGGAAAAAAAATTTTCTTAT